TACATTGAGAAGTGTATGTTCAGTGTACATACGCTGAGAATTGTATGTCCATACACCATGTATACACTGAGAGTTGTATGTATATACACTAAGACGTATCTCTCACAATGTATACAATGAGAGGTGTGCATATTATTTTGGGAATATAGGGCCATTGATACCTAATGCCGTATACCATCCACTTATTATGGGAATATAGGGCCATTAATATCTAATGCCGTATACCATCCACTTGTTATGGGAATATAGGGTCATTAATATCTAATGCCGTATACCATCCACTTGTTATGGGAATATAGGGTCATTAATATCTAATGCCGTATACCATCCACTTGTTATGGGAATATAGGGTCATTAATATCTAATGCCGTATACCATCCACTTGTTATGGGAATATAGAGCCATTAATATCTAATGCCGTATACCATCCACTTATTATGGGAATATAGGGCCATTAATATCTAATGCCGTATACCATCCACTTGTTGTGGGAATATAGGGCCAGTGATACCTAATGCCGTATACCATCCACTTGTTATGTTAATATAGGGCCAATGATACCTAATGCCGTATACCATCCACTTGTTATGGGAATATAGGGTCAGTGATACCTGATGCCGTATACCATCCACTTGTTATGGGAATATAGGGTCATTGATATCTAATGCCATATACCATCCACTTGTTATGGGAATATAGGGCCAATGATACCTAATGCCGTATACCATCCACTTGTTATGGGAATATAGGGTCATTGATACCTAATGCCGTATACCATCCACTTGTTATGGGAATATAGGGTCATTGATATCTAATGCCGTATACCATCCACTTGTTATGGGAATATAGGGTCATTGATATCTAATGCCGTATACCATCCACTTGTTATGGGAATATAGGGCCAATGATACCTAATGCCGTATACCATCCACTTGTTATGGGAATATAGGGTCATTGATATCTAATGCCGTATACCATCCACTTATTATGGGAATATAGGGCCATTGATATCTAATGCCGTATACCATCCACTTGTTATGGGAATATAGGGTCATTGATATCTAATGCCGTATACCATCCACTTGTTATGGGAATATAGGGCCAATGATACCTAATGCCGTATACCATCCACTTGTTATGGGAATATAGGGTCATTGATATCTAATGCCGTATACCATCCACTTGTTATGGGAATATAGGGTCATTGATATCTAATGCCGCATACCATCCACTTGTTATGGGAATATAGGGTCATTGATATCTAATGCCGTATACCATCCACTTGTTATGGGAATATAGGGTCATTTATATCTAATGCCGTATACCATCCACTTGTTATGGGAATATAGGGTCATTGATACCTAATGCCGTATACCATCCACTTGTTATGGGAATATAGGGCCAATGATACCTAATGCCGTATACCATCCACTTGTTATGGGAATATAGGGTCATTGATATCTAATGCCGTATACCATCCACTTGTTATGGGAATATAGGGCCATGGACGGCTCACACCGTATTAAGCCCTATTCCTCCCACTTACAAGTCTTCATAGAGAATATTTCGACAATTTTCAACTTCCCACTGATGGAGTGCATCCTCCCGTCTGTCCTCACTTGGTGAATGTCCTCACTAACAGTCTGATTGGTCACACACGGAGATGTGATTGGTGGATGGAGGGTTAAGCATCCCAATCTTTACCCTGACTCACCTATACTATGCTATAATAATGATGATGATAATAATAATAATAATAATAATAATAATAATAATAATAATAATAATAATAATAATAATAATAATAATTATAATAATCTCAAAAGACTAGTTTCTATGCAATCTTCTTGCAACTATAAAGTTCCAAGTTGAAGTTCAATCTATCCCACTACCTGACCTGACCTTACCTGTCTCTTCACCTCTCCTGACCTGACCTTACCTGTCTCTTCACCTCTCCTGACCTGACCTTACCTGTCTCTTCACCTCTCCTGACCTGACCTTACCTGTCTCTTCACCTCTCCTGACCTGACCTTACCTGTCTCTTCACATCTCCTGACCTGACCTTCCTCTCGTGATCTTGGCCTTTGGACTTACACCGGTCTCTTGTTCAGACTCCAGATGATCCGGACTCCAGATAACAACCACTTTTTACGAATTTCCAGACTTGTTACTATCAGAAAATAATATGCATATATATATATATATATATATATATATATATATATATATATATATATATATATATATATATATATATCTCCAGGACTGATACATCCTCACTCATCCTTCAGAGTACAGGTACTGTACTTCCCACTTCCAGTACTGTAACATCCTCACTCATCCTTCAGAGTACAGGTACTGTACTTCCCACCTCCAGTACTGTAACATCCTCACTCATCCTTCAGAGTACAGGTACTGTACTTCCCACCTCCAGTACTGTAACATCCTCACTCATCCTTCAGAGTACAGACACTGTACTTCCCACCTCCAGTACTGTAACATCCTCACTCATCCTTCAGAGTACAGATACTGTACTTCCCACCTCCAGTACTGTAACATCCTCACTCATCCTTCAGAGTACAGGTACTGTACTTACCACCTCCAGTACTGTAACATCCTCACTCATCCTTCAGAGTACAGGTACTGTACTTCCCACCTCCAGGACTGTAACATCCTCACTCATCCTTCAGAGTACAGGTACTGTACTTCCCACCTCCAGTACTGTAACATCCTCACTCATCCTTCAGAGTACAGGTACTGTACTTCCCACCTCCAGTACTGTAACATCCTCACTCATCCTTCAGAGTACAGGTACTGTACTTCCCACCTCCAGGACTCAAGTCCGGCTAACCGGTTTCCCTGTATCCCTTCCTAAACATTACTTTGCTCACACTCCAATAGCCCGTCAAGTTAAGTCAAGAATAAGATAGTATAAATAAGAAAGGACAAGAAAACTATCACAAGCATGAATAAGATAGTTGAAAAAATCAAAATAGAGCTCAGATAAGCAAGATTAAGATAGTTGAGATAAACAAGAATAAAACAACTAAGATAAGAAAGAACAAGATAACTAAATCAAGTAAGTAAAAGTTAAAGTCAGAGAGCAAAGATATTTACAAAGTTTAAACAAAGGTGGACGAAAAATTTCGAAATACTTTAGATAAAGGTTAGTAGGGACTAGCAGCACACAGGTCGTGATAATACATTGAAATTGTAAGAAAATGAGTAAAAGGGGCAAGAAGAGTGGTAAGAAGGGTTATAAAGATGAATATGTAGGGTCTAGACGGCTGTAGACATCAGAACTTGGTTAATGTGATCTTGGTGTTGTGGTTTTATAGGGCCTGTGATGGATCACGCCGTGTCAAGTACTATCGTAGGTATCTAGCCCTGTATCTAGCCGTATCTAGGCCTGCTGTAGGTATTTGTTGTGGTTTTATAGGGCCTGTGATGGATCACGCCGTGTCAAGCACTATCGTAGGTATCTAGCCCTGTATCTAGCCGTATCTAGGCCTGCTGTAGGTATTTGTTGTGGTTTTATAGGGCCTGTGATGGATCACGCCGTGTCAAGCACTATCGTAGGTATCTGGCCCTGTATCTAGCCGTATCTAGGCCTGTTGTAGGTATTTGTTGTGGTTTTATAGGGCCTGTGATGGATCACGCCGTGTCAAGTACTATCGTAGGTATCTAGCCCTGTATCTAGCCGTATCTAGGTCTGCTGTAGGTATTTGTTGTGGTTTTATAGGGCCTGTGATGGATTACGCCGTGTCCATCCGTGTTGTAGGTACTTGTTGTTGTGGATTTATAGGGCCTGTGATGGATCACGCCGTGTCCAGCCGTGTTGTAGGTACTTGTTGTTGTGGTTTTATAGGGCCTGTGATGGATCACGCCGTGTCAAGCACTATCGTAGGTATCAAGCCCTGTATCTAGCCGTATCTAGGCCTGCTGTAGGTATTTGTTGTGGTTTTATAGGGCCTGTGATGGTTCACGCCGTGTACAGCCCTACTGCATATAGTTCTTGGTTGGGTTTATCGGTCTACTGAGAGCCCACGCCGTATGGAGGGAACACCTCGTCCAGGGTCATCCAGGTGTTGTCGACACCATCTTCTGTAGCAAGGAGAGCCCCCTACTCACCCCCCCCCCTTTCCCAGTGTGTGGGCGGGGTCAGCCTTGCAGGTATAAAGTCTGGAAGACTGGACGGACTTGTATCATTCTCTTACCGTCCATCACCACCACCACTAATATGAAGTTCTTAGTAAGTAGACTCTTCATCCAGGGCAGTAAATCAGTGATCTCTAGTTGATAAGCTCACTGTCAACTACGTCAGCAGACACTTAGGACATTTCACAAGGAGGAGCACTGCAGCAGGCCTACTGGTCCATGCTAGGGCAGGTCCCTCACAAACCCACTAGCAAAAATATGTTACCTAATGCATTTTGAATTTACCATTATCCTCTGTAGCACTGTTTTCATCTGTTTTGGGGCCTTATTCATTCCAGACATATAGCTACATCCATAACAACTACATCTACGTCAATAAACGCAGTGTCTACATCAGTAGACGCTGGAGATTGCGTCTATCAGTACCTCCAGCATATAGCCAAGACCAAGACTGAACTGGTCATCTGATTCCAAAATCCCTCAGGTTTTTTCTTCCCCTATCAAAGAAAATAAGACCAATAACGTCAGTTGCTTCTGCCCTCAGTAAGCCAGTGGTGGTTATGGCTTGCAAGCCACTTACATCAGGTGAACGACACTCCCTGGGTCTAACGATGCCACCGAACTGTACACAAACCTCCTTTACCAAAGCTTCTCTGTACCACCAAACTATTTAGAACCTGACCAACGGCAGCCACAGCAGTTAGTAAACACCATCGTCTCTATGACAGGTTAGGTAAGACTTGGTATCAACCTTGGTAATAAATACCGTCAAGTTAGGTCACACTGTGCCACTCACACCTCACTCTCTGTGTGTTAGAAGTGTTTAAGGTCCCAAGACTGAAATGTGTTCCATGAAAAATGTCCTGGTGTTTCCTGACGTGTGTTTCCAGGTATGATTGGTCAGGAAACAGGACAAGTGTTTCCCGACCCGGGTCATAGGTGTATGATGACCAGCGTCTCACTGACCTGACCTTATTATTGACCACCTCATCTTCTCCCTCACACATACACGGAAAAATACAAGACAGAGTGACCACTAAAGAGAAGAAGAAGCATCTTAACCATCATTCACTCCACCACTAAATTGTCTGCAGTTAATATATGCCGGATTTAATCAGACTAACAACTCATCACAAACTACAACAAATCAGATTTGTTTGGTGATAGCTGGAAGATTGATAGACGGAGGGTCGAGTTTCCATTAGCAGTTAATGGACGGAGGATAGAGTCTAATATGTCTGGTATGGTTCACTAGGGTCGGGCTAGCATGGTCCACTAGGGTCTTACTAGCATGGTCCACTAGGGTCTGACTACTATGGTCCACTAGGGTCTGACTAGCATGGTCCACTAGGACCTGTCTGACATGGTCCACTAGGGTCTGACTAGCATGGTCCACTAGGACCTGTCTGACATGGTCCACTAAGGTCTGACTAGCATGGTCCACTAGGACCTGTCTGGCATGGTCCACTAGGGTCTGACTAGTATGGTCCACTAGGACCTCTCTGACATAGTCCACTAGGGTCTGACTACAATGGTCCACTAGGGTCTGACTAGCATGGTCCACTAGGGTCTGACTAGCATGGTCCACTAGGACCTGTCTGGCATAGTCCACTAGGGTCGGCATGGAGCAGTAGGCCTACCAGACATGGAACTGTAGGCCTACTACCGATCTCCATTCTTAAGTATACCACTAACACGACAACCCCTTGGTCGTCCCTCCTCCAGGTAGTCGTCCTCCTAGGTCTGGTCGCCCTGGTCGTCGCTCGCCCCGACACACTCCTCGACCTGGACGACATCCAGCACGACCAGTCCATCGATGACGACACAGTCTTCACTGGGTCGTACAGGTGAGTGTCATAACTCGACAACTGTAGTTACCTAGCTGTCATTTCAAGGGTCGAATCACGGTTCCTAGTCGTTCCCTACCATTACAAAGGCTGTTGACTTCTTCCAGTGACCCTCTGGTTGCGGACTTCCAGGAGACACTATATACAGTCAACACCCTTACAAAGCTCCTCCGTTTAGTAGGTTTTTTGGTTAATGTAAGTGAAAAAAATCTATTTTAAATATATCTTCAGAAAAAAAACTCTATACACAGGAACCTCTTAGAGAGAACTGACTGTAGGGCGACTGAGAAGTCTGGAACGAGAGGGTCACCGCAAGAACCACGATCCAGGGAAAGACAAGCCAGGTACCATCTTTCTAAACTGTCCCCCATGGTTCCAGACTTATGGAATAATCTCCAGAAATTTGTAACTACAAGGTTAGGCTTGAAAGATAATTCTAACTTCAAGGTTAGGCTTGAAAGATAATTCTAACTACAAAGTTAGGCTTGAAAGATAATTCTAACTGCGGCCTTAGGTTTAAAGATAATCCTAACAACAAAGTTAGGAATACTTTAGCTAATATGCATTGTAATGTGTACTGGCTACATCATTCCAGCTGAGTATTGTAGGTGGGCACTGTAAGTGGGCACTGTAGGTGGGTAACGCAGTGGAAGCTCAGTGGATGATCTAGCCAGTGGAGCCAGTGTATCAGAATTTCCAAATTAGCCTTCAGAAGGCTTTATAAATAGTCCCAGACATTAACCAGAGTGAGGGATAACTGAGACAGTGTGGGACAGGACGCTTAAGATAGGATTAGATAAGATTGGGTTGGGATTTTTAACCCAGGAGGGTTAGCCAGCCAGGGTAACCCGAGAAAGTCAGTTCGTCATCAAGGACTGTCTTATTTCCATTGTGGTCCTTAATTTTGTTCCCCAGGATGCCACCCACACCAGTCCACT